TCTGGTGAACCATTCTAAATATACCCCTCTGTATAATTAATGCTATAACTGTAAGTGATAGTAGCTCCAAATAGATCAATCTTGTACTTGACCCAGAAATTCTTTCGGGCTGAAAGCTATTTTCTGGGTTTACTATGAGGTGATCGAGTATATTATGTTAACATGTGAGGATATGGCATGCAGACACCATACTTATAATACCGTAACTTGTTTAAAAACCACAATTAAATATGGACGATACCTTGTGTGGGCGAATAGGTGACCGTATACTGGCCAATCGTCGCACCTGTCATAAATGCATTGTCAGTTGTTCACCACGAAAAAAGGCACAGGTACATATGGTACACATCTAAAACAGAGCACAGGTACATATGGTACAAATCTAAAACAGAGCACAGGTACATATGGTACACATCTAAAACAGAGCACAGGTACATATGGTACAAATCTAAAACAGAGCACAGGTACATATGGTACAAATCTAAAACAGAGCACAGGTACATATGGTACAAATCTAAAACAGAGCACAGGTACACATGGTACAAATCTAAAACAGAGCACAGGTACATATGGTACAAATCTAAAATAGAGCACAGGTACATATGGTACAAATCTAAAACAGGGCACAGCATTGGACATCATCTTGGTTAATGATCAATGAAAATCTTCCATATTCTACCTTAAACCTTGGGAAGCTTATATGTTCAAGGCTTTGAATGATGTAACCTTGATTGAGCAATAAAATAGTGCCTGGTATTACATTACCATATACAAGTAAACAGCATAGAACTTTTTTATAGATTTCTTGTTGGGACGAGGGAGAGAAATATTTATATCAAGTTTTAAATTGAGATTTAAAAGAGGCGCGGTATCTAATCTATATAATATGCACTTATAGGGCCGCGAGCCTGAACATATGTCATTTATTTGAATATTTTCAACGTGCAACACATGTGATACAAATGGCAATTACTGAGGAAGCGAAATTGATATGTATTTACATGAAAACTTCGTGCTTATTATTTCAACATTTCAAGCGGATAGTTATTTAATCATGCGGGATAACATTGTGACCTGACATAGATATGTATTTTTCACATAGCATTCTCATAAGCGAGAAAGTAAAAGTGGTTACGTACATAACTGGCTGTTGTCAAATAACAAGTTTAATTTAGTATCATTGTAATTTAAAGGAGTGGTGCGGTAGCCTAGTGTTTAAAGCGTTCGCTCGTCACACCGAAAACCCGGGGTCGATACCCCACATGGGTACATTGTGTTAAGCCCATTTCTGGTGTCCCCCGCCGTGATGTGATATTGCTGCAATATTGCTAAAAGCGGCTTAAGCTCACTCATTGAGATTTTAAACAACGTATCTTTAAAACTGGATTGGAATGCAGCTGATAGGCAATGTATGGACACATATTTCTGTCTTCATTTGACCACTGGTCGTTGTCATTTCGAATTGATTGATTTGATACCTCTAAAGATCGAAGTATGGAACAATTTATTTGTCCAATTTGATAACTAAATATAAAGACCGCCTCCGTGGTGTAGTGGGTAGAGCGTCCGCCCGGAGAGCGGAAGGTCGCGGTTCTGATCCCCGGCCGCGTCATACCAAATGACGTAAAAATATGGTACTTGTTGGTCCCTGTCTGGCGCTCGGCATTAATGGGTACAACAAGGACTGGTCGACTCGGAGTCAGTATAATGTCTCTGAGTGGAGTATTCATGCTTCACTGCGGCATGGTATCTCAGTGGGCTGGCACTATAAAATCAGCTTCAGTCTGGGCTAGTACAAGCAGCCGCACATACACGTGCACCACATGCACGTCGTCATATGAGCGAAATATGCTCAAGCACGACGTTAAACCCAATTTCACCTCACCTCACCTCACCTCACCTCACCTCACCTCACTAAATATAAAACTGAATAGTTTGTGACGACGCTTACACTGAGGAATTATTGTCATACTAATGACCTTTTACTGTGGAATTAACTTAGTCAGATTATACATTCAAAGAAAAAATATGCACTCACGAGTAACACATTATGATTTTTTATTATCATCTTCTGCCTTAAACGTCATCAAAGGTCGTCAACCACCAATTCTCAGAGAGAATGCCCAATTGGCCATTTCTTATGTCGTTTTGGTTTGTACTTGTTAAGCAGACGAATACACACGAATAAAAGTCAAATAGGTATCAGAGTACTATCAACTAAACATGGTATAATTCGAAGAAATCAACTGGTAATCGCTATTTTGTGTGCAACAACCAAAATATGTGTCACAATTTATTCATTCTTGGTGTCCCCAAAGCTCTAGTGTTTAAACAAATGGCTACACTTAGTATGTTTACCATCACAGGCGTTTAAAATCACTCCCCATAGGTTGTACGTACATGAATGTAAAACCTATGAAAAAATGAAGGGATTGTCATAATAAACAAAACAAATGTGACACTACGAAATATGTCGCCACAATAGCGGTAATCTACGTTCCCGAACGTAAAATTCAGTGTAAAATGCATATATATTGGCAAACGTTTGTTTTGAAAGCTCGCAAGTGTTTACTGGATATAGTATATGTACAAAAAGTGTCACCTTGGAACACATCGTACCATATAAAACCGTACACAAAGTGTTAAGCATGAAAGCTACGTTACCATTTCTGTACAGAAATATGAATAACAGCTACCTATAAAAGTGATTAGAATGAATGCTTTGTGTTTTCATAGAGTAATAAGACCGAAAAGGGAGTGCAATATGCTTCCAGTCAAGATCATGGTAGTTTGCAAACGGTGCAAGTAATCTACGTTATGAAATCTACGTTACCACCTGATATGGAATCTTACAAAATATAATTGGAAATAGAAGATTTCGCTTCGTAGCATAGTCAGAGAACCCTGGCAAATAATTTGATAACCTACAACAGTTGCCACCGGTTGCTGTCACATGATCGCAGCACTTCAGTGACATTTCACGAAATTCAAATTTGGAAGGGAAACTTCATCTTTATTCGGGTAATTCCCTATGAAACAGGTAAGAATGTTTGTTAATTTACTTCATTGGAGAGATATAGTTTCAGAATATGTAAAAACAATTGTTCTACTGTTGAGAATTTCTTCGGTAGAAGCATTTGGAAATGATCACTATATTTGGGTGTAGGTAGCCATCATTTCAAAAGATTGATAGAAGTTGTATTTCGTGAAGCATGTATCAATTGTTTAAAATATCACATAATTTTTTTAGATATATTGATCTTAACCCTAAACATATGATATTTCGATCTCTTAAGAAATCTGCAACATATCTTTCCCCTCAATTTTGTACTCGTTCCTCAAAGTATGGTAACGTAGATTGCAATGAATGAAGTAATACCTTCATAACTATCACATGTTCCGGTAGCTGTTATGAATATTTTATTTATTGCTCATCAAGTAGCAATAATGACTTTCATATATGGTAAACTGATGTAAAATCAGTCTATATGAGGACGAGTATTACGTCCAATGAAGATGTTTGTAAGGTAATGTAGATTACAGTTTGGTAACGTAGATTACAAAAATATCATTGTTGAATTCTGACAGAATGGGTAAGACCCATGCAGAGATTCAGCGGGATTACGGATAAGGGAATATAAAAAAAGAAGGAATGAATGTTATTCATCTGAACAAGTGTTTTTTGTGCAAATCTGTAATCTACGTTACAAAGACATTCATCGACAACCTTATCAATAATATCACCTTTTCTAATGTTGTTGTATTGTCAGTGAAGTTCATTATATTACCTCTCAGATGTCGATTCATTTTGTCGTCTTTTTTTGCGTAAAGAACAGCATTTAACATTTTAACATAAAATTATATTTTCAAGAGCTTTGCCTTGATAAAGTTTATTGTTATAATGCTAACAAACACAACTGAGTGGAAAGGATGTTACATGTAATGTTGTTTTCTTAACGAACCACAACTTTGGGAATAACGACTGAATTTTGTGAATGATATCTCCCTTCAATGTGTTATGCAGCCACCATACAGAAAAGTCACGTAGATTACAACGATCGTGTAGGGTGGTATTGCATGAGATGTGATGGAAGTTTTACAAGCTCCCCTTGAGTGCTACAATTTCTGATTTTCGTTCAGCAACAACAGGTGACAGAAATATTGTCTTTTTTTACGATTTGTGTCATTCAAATTGGGCATTCTCTGTGAGAAATGGTGAAACGCGTTTGATTATATGTGATGACGTGGGGGTCAGATGCAAATTTAAACTTTCTGGACTAAATGGCATCTTGGGTTGTATACTCCTCAAGGAGTTGCACACTATTTGACCGAGGTACTCAAGGTGCAGGGCAATGAGAATGCTTCACGTTATGATACAACTTTGTAGACACACATTTAAAGATAAAACGATAACAGTGTTTTTCATTCATTCCGAAACATTTTGCTGTTTATCAACTATTGACGTTTTCGGTATTGTGGAGTATGTTCATGTTAACTGAATGTCTACACATCGAATAGTTGCGACATTCTTCAAAATACCAAATACCAGGGCCAAAGGTATAGCGATTTATACAGCTCAGAGCATATATCCCCACAGTTGGAAGGCAGCGAATTGAATACCCACACGCCATCAAAGATTAAGTTCAGTAATCTGAAGAATTTCTTTACCGTATAATCTGATCTTGGTAGTACGTGACGAGTCAGAGCCGGGAATGTCATCTTGGAAAGGTGGGATATTCATTCAAAATATTCCCTACCTCTGCGGGGCGGTTGGGTGGTCTTGTGGTTAAAGCGGTCGCTCGTCACGCCGAAGGACTGGGTTCGATTCCCCACATGGGTACACTGTGTGAAGCTCATTTCTGGTGTCCCCACCGTGATATTGCTGAAAGTGGCTTAAAACCCAACTTACTCACTCACCCTACCTCTGCATAACAGCGTGGACATACGTAATGAATGTTGACACAACACACAAAAGAAAAAAAAGCATTGAAGCAACTTACCCACGATTCAAACTTGGAATGGTCTCTGTTCAGAATACACTGGTCTTCAATGATTTTAGTGCGCACATATTTGGGAAACTCCAGTCCGATGATGAGAGCCACTGATAACAGGAGTACTCCAACTAAAAACAGACCTAGACCCAAGATCTTTGTGGACATAGCCTGTTTGGGTACCTTAGTGTCCGAGTCCTTCCTGCTCCAAGAAGAAGGGTCAAGCATAGGGGCCCGGTGGACCGGGGCGGAATAATTCCTATGCATCTAATGTGCAGATGTCAACACGACACCAGTCCCGTCTAGACGACACCTATCCAATCTATGAGACACCAGTCCAGTCTACGTGACCCTGTCCAGTCTACCTGACGCCAGTCCCGTCTATGTGACACCTGTCCAGTGTACGTGACACCACACCAGTCTACCTGACACCAGTCCCGTCTATGTGACACCAGACCAGTGAACGTAACACCAGTCCAGTCAACACGACACCGGTCAAGTCTAGACGACACTTGACCAGTCTACACGACACCAGTCCAATCTCCGTGACACCAGTCCCGTCTATGTGACACCAGTCCAGTCAACACGACACCGGTCAAGTCTAGACGACACCTGTCCAGTCTACACGACACCAGTCCAATCTCCGTGACACCAGTCCAATCTACGCGACACCAGACCGCAAATAATTTAACTGTAATCAGTGGTAATATTGCTTAATGTTACCACATCAGTTCACATAGTTGACTTAATAAGTGCGAACTGTAATCTCCAGGATATCATGTCACTTCATTCCGTTCCGCTATGTACTCTAGCAAGGCAGAGCTGCTAATGTCAGTCCCTCCAGGAAACTCCAACACTAGCCTGTCCTATTGACAACGCAGTTTATTGTATTTCATTTCAATAATTATCAAGTGCTCCGCCAGCGGAATATTCCAGGTGATTTTACACCATATATGGTGCGAAGAAATGAAAAATTACAAAGTGGGCTGAGCTGTAAAATCACACTCTCTGTTTCATTAACACAGATGAAGACATTGACAGGATGACCATATTTACACCTTGCTCGTCGGTGTTGCCCACGTTCACACGTGCTAGTAGCCAGGAGTAATCCAGATCGTGTGTAATGGCACGAGCTTAAGTTAATCTTTATTCGCAATGCACATATTCCGATGTAAAATATGCTGGAAATGTCAAATTTCAATTTTCCCTTTCCATTTTCTTCTTCGTTTTATCCAACAGGTCGTCGTCATCGTCGGCGATGTCTTCTTGAATTCTTGAGAGCCTTTAATCTTGATTAATATTGCAGACACCTTTCACGGTAACCCGATCCGAAACAACACACATATCCATTTCCCTTCAGTTCATTTGAGGGCGGTTTGTCTATCATCCAACATGTTTACGTTGTTGCCCCGTGGTCAAGGAGTGGACCGACTCTGGCTAATGCCAGAGACCATATACCGGTATATGATCCCTGCTAATGCGCAGGTCGGAGACGTATAATTAGCTTGAGGCACAGGTGGCGTTGATTTACATCGTCCAATAATCAATTACATCTGATGAAAGTTGTTAAAATGGTTTTGTCACCCAGACCAACTACTCCCATTCCGCATCACGATTCACGAATATCCTGTAACTCGAAGGATGATATTGGGTGTGAAATCATATAGCCGTGAAAGTGTCCCCCTCAACAATAAACAGGAGAAAGTTACCTACTCCAGCCCCCACTGAGCATTCGAGTCCTTTGTACGCGATGTTTTCACAAGACCGCCTGCAACCACCCGCAGACGTCACTTATATTGATCTCGTGGTTTCTCGTGGTTTTCCGCTGAGTACGAGTTCAGGACTGCCAGCAGTCACAGTGCTTGGGGCTGTCTGTTTGGCCATTCTCATCTCTTTAATGCCCAATTAGATGTCGTCTGCTCGGGTCGTTAAGCATGTCATGCCATTAAGGGCAAATTCCTCCATCTCACAATCGGCTCTGTGGTTCTTGGCGTAGGAAGGCAACTGTACCGGAGGTAAGGTATATTTCAATGAATAATTCACACCCGAAACAATGCAAACGACGTTTTCTCACTCTCCTACCCAGAGTTCCATGCGGCCAGCCTGCATAGTACCTCTGCCACAGGCCAGAAAGATGTGACGACCGTATATTCAATATAATGTACATATTTCTTAACTCTTTTATTTTTGACGAGGCTACACATCTAATTAAAAATCTTTGATAGAATGGTTTAGTTTCACTGAGAAAATATCCTAAAACATGTAACACTATTTCGATTTGCGTAGCGATCCTTTGTTTACATAGGTTGTACGGTTCCACCGTGCTGTCATCGAAGCCGACGGAGAGCAAACGATGCAGCCAGTTTGATATCTAAATATGTATTGTCATAAATGTTACTGTCGCAGTTGTGGAAGAATATATATGGAACAATGTCAAACATTGTGAAAAGCGCAGAAAAACTTGCGTAAGGCCAGTCTCTTCTTATTATGAATATGCGCGTTTGTTTACAAACAAGAGAAAAGTCCGGTCACGTGATATGCAAATTAGCCTGTGGCAGTGATGTTATACTAAGTCATCACTGCGCCGGAGTGTGCGTGTTTCTATAATATGCTTTGTTGAATGAGGGGAATTGCTTGTTTGTGAATGGCTTGATCTATATGCTTGAAGACATGTAAAGAAAGCACGCCTATTTCACAAAATTGAAAATGAGTATTAAAGGTGTAATTACCGGACAATGTGAGATAAAACAGTATAAAAATAGTGGTTTATTTTAATAGTAATAACTATATAACTTTATCTCACAATAACACGCTAAGAGAGTGAGAGAGTTGAGTTTTAGCAATATTCCAGCAATATCACGGCGGGGGGACATCAGAAATGGACGCATTGTACCCATATAGGGAATCGAACCCGGGCCTTCAGCGTACGGTTTAACCACAAGGCTAATCCACCGCCCCACACACTGAGAGAAAATAGATTGCACCCATTCACTCCAAGACAATCTCATCCGCACTTACAATGCCGAGCCCAATGGCAGTTGTACAGTGGTAAGCCAATCATATTGACAGGTTCATGTATAACTCCATACATTATCGCGCCTGTAACAGTGCTGAAAGATGACTACTGTTGGGCTTCCTGACCACAGTCAACCTTTCAGTACCTCACGTATGCCTTAAGTGCCTAAAGAGGGGGATCGGGTGTTAGACTGAAGTTAGGCTGAAGTTCTGCGTGTTCTCGCTATAACACAATGGTATGCCTAGTCAAGATTCTACTATATATAACAAGTTTTATGGATAACAACTTCTTTATTTTCGTGAGTGCGACGTTTCGATACAGATTCTTGTACCGTTGTCAAGCAAGAGTGATACATGAAGTGTAGGAGCTGCATATATATACTGTATATAACAATGAAACAACATAATAGACAAAGGAAACAACATAATTGCCATGATTGGCTAAGCAGTAAGCTGATGAAGCCAGTAAGTACATAAAGGATAGTGAATGGAAGCCAGAGATGTAGTTACAATGAGATGTTTATACAATGGATGCGAAGTTTATACAATCGACTGGGCTTGGTGGAGGAGTGGATCATAAGCAGATGGAATGAAGTATCCTTGGTCACGGTTGATGGTAGGCTTGTGGCGTTTGATGTGAATGGCTTCTGTGAGCTTGCGTTTAGTGAAGTCCGTTTGGTTGTTGGCGAGAATGGTGATGTCGGACCACTCTATTTGATGATTGGGGTTGGCTTTGATGTGGTCAGAGATAGCTGATTTGGTGTCGGAATTAGCAACAGAGGTGCGATGTTCTTTGACTCGGGTGTTGATGGGTCGGGATGTTTCACCTATGTAGCATTGTCCACAATCACAGTCTATTTTGTAAATAACACATTTCGGGTTGTTGTTGTTGACGGTGGGTTGTTTTCTTCCGTTGGCATGGAGGAGGTTGTTGAGGCTGGAGGACGCTGAGAAGGTAGTGTCTATTCCTGCCTGTTGTTTCAGGAGTCGGCTGATTTGGTGTGATGGTTTACCAATGTAGGGAATGGATATCTTGATGGGGGCTGATTCTGGTTTAGATCTTTTGGCAGGAGGTGAAAGCGTTGCTTCGATGGTTCTGTTGACTATTTCAGGTGGGTAGTGGTTGCGTTCCACAAAGACTTTCCTCAGGTGTTCAATTTCTTCCTGTAGGTTTGTTGAGCAGATGTTTTTGGCTCATACGGATCAATACATCCACTACAACTCCAACCACCCACCTAAAGTCAAGACCGGCGTCATCTCCACATTGACCAGAAGAGCCATCAACACCCGAGTCAAAGAACATCGCACCTCTGTTGCTAATTCCGACACCAAATCAGCTATCTCTGACCACATCAAAGCCAACCCCAATCATCAAATAGAGTGGTCCGACATCACCATTCTCGCCAACAACCAAACGGACTTCACTAAACGCAAGCTCACAGAAGCCATTCACATCAAACGCCACAAGCCTACCATCAACCGTGACCAAGGATACTTCATTCCATCTGCTTATGATCCACTCCTCCACCAAGCCCAGTCGATTGTATAAACTTCGCATCCATTGTATAAACATCTCATTGTAACTACATCTCTGGCTTCCATTCACTATCCTTTATGTACTTACTGGCTTCATCAGCTTACTGCTTAGCCAATCATGGCAATTATGTTGTTTCCTTTGTCTATTATGTTGTTTCATTGTTATATACAGTATATATATGCAGCTCCTACACTTCATGTATCACTCTTGCTTGACAACGGTACAAGAATCTGTATCGAAACGTCGCACTCACGAAAATAAAGAAGTTGTTATCCATAAAACTTGTTATATATTGTACGTCTCAACTTCTAAAATGCCACTCAAACAAGATTCTACTAATTAGAGGGAACGGTGGGGTAGCTTAATGATTAAAGCTTCCGCTCGTCACGCTTAAGATCTGAGTTCGATTCCCCACATGGTACAATGTGTGAAGCCCATTGATATTTCTGGTGATGTTGCTGGAATATTGCTAGAAGCGGGGTAAAACTACACTCGCTCACTATTAATTAGAGACAGCAGAGATGTGTCTTGAAGCCTGCTTTATCGTAAAACAACATTCATTCACCCTGTGATGCGTATGACCAGGTGTACAGGGTTTTCAAAGCGGCATTTCGCTCTTCACGTCCCATTGTCATACAAGGATCGAATCCAAGATTCGCAACATTTATGATCCTTGACCTGTCGGCACCATAAACATGTCCCTGGTTTTCACCGACTTTGGGCTAGCTATCTAATCTCGTGAGTGAGTTTAGTTTGACGCCGCACTCAGCAATATTACACCTATATGGCGGAGGTCTGTAAATAATCGAGTCTGGAACACACTATCCAGTGCTCAACAGCATGAGCATCGATCTGCGCAAATTAGAACCGATGACATGTGTCAACCAAGCCAGCGAGCCTGACCACCCGATCCCGTTAGTCGCCTCTTACGACAAGCATGGGTTACTGAAGATTCATTCTAACCCGGACCTTCACGGGTCATCTAATC